AATTTACTCCATTTAAGACTGTCTTGATCAAAAGCGAAACATTTCTACGCGATGCGCTTGAAATTGATGGAGGCCAGTTTTTCCAACCTGAAGCTTTGCATCCTGTACGTTGTATTGACTGCCTGCCTGTTTCACAAAGGTAAACTAAGGATAAGAGGCCGCATTTTCCATAATGCGATGAACAATTAATTGTTTCATCGCAAGCTTGGCTTAAACCACCGCTAACAAAACATGGCCCCAACGGTCACTAACATTGTTTAATGAATCTCACCAATTATAGCTAACTTTGTTTAGCATTAAACTGTCTGAGTTTGTAGCGAAAGAGTTAGTTAAAAATAAGATGGAACAGCCTTACTTTCCATTTTTGTTGTGCTAGACAAATACTTTTTTCATCGTACATTTGACACCACAGCAACAAAGAGAAAAAACTGATAACCAAAATGAAAATGGGCCCTAATTGTTCGGGTTTTTTTTTTTGCTTTGAATAATGCTTTAAGGAGGGCTAATGCATGTTGTAGTACACAGTTCTTTATTAAGGAGACAAGTGAGCCGATGGAATAAGTCGACCATAGTTTGAATAGATCAGTCTTAGTCCAAAGGAGGATTATTCAAGTATCCCATGATGCTGCCGGCCAAAACATCGCTCAGTTGGTGTCAAGTTTTCTGAACAATTCGAAAGACTTTTGGCCAAATTTAAAGTTCATCATTCTTTGTTTTTTCTTGTCTATGGTTAACATCAAGCCAAGGCATCTCTTCGACTCTTTGACGTCGCTCTCTCTCCTTCGTAATCTCCGTTATGAGCAAGAAGAAGATTGAGCCACGCTTGTTGGGTTTACGAAGTTGAAGACCACGACAACAATATTCGGGCTGCAGCTTCTTCATCGCTTTCTCTCTTAAAGCAAGCTATTCTCGGCTTGCACTATCACGCAATGAAAAATAAAAATGCAAACCACTCAATACAGAAGGACTAGAATCTGGGAAATGAAAAAAAGATAAATAAACAAAAACCCTTGCCAAGAATCAGGTCTGTGAAATATTGCAAATGCGAGATATTGGGAAAAACGGTTTACCTAAATTTATAAAGCTTTGTATGGAAACGCCATGTTGGTGTCCCTTTCAGGAACACCAATATGGCCGCCGGATACCAACACAAACATCTGTTTTCGAGTTTTCCTACTAATGCGTGAATTGTTCGCTTGAGGAATTCATAAAGATTACAGTAATATTTATTCTGAGACAAGGAATGTTTAGATTGCAAAATCTCCCAAAATCGGTAATGTTTTTAACCCACATAAGAGCTTTCCCGGCCGCCAGCTAAATGCCGCGTCACGCAAAAGCCTGGAAATTCAAGCGTCCTTTCTCACAAAACGAAGAACCCCTTCGAACCAAAAATTTGTTTATGTAAAGGTGTTTAGGTACTGTAATACCTAGTGAAAGTAGAAACTCAGAAGAATCGATAGTTTCTTAGTTTGATTTTTGGTGACGTCACGTGCAACCCAAGAATACAGTCTGGGTGGAATAACAAAATATCACAGTTAAAGAACATTTGTACCTGGAAAGGAGTGAAATTAAAAATAATTGATGATCAAAACAAACTTGCGCAAACTGTTAGCTCCGTTTCCTGAGGTGGGCGGGCCAATATTTCTTCCATGAAGACCGATCGATCTTAAAACCAGGCAGCAAAAGAGTGGATTTGATACTGTATTTATACTAACCTTGTGAGTGTACTTCGACTTTACTTTGATTTCCACTGGGAAGGCTTGTCCTCACGATCTTTCAGCTTGGCAGATCCGAGCGCACAAAAACACACATCTCGTCGCTCTCGTGATTTTTTGGGAAAACTTATGCACTCCGGTCCAATACTCTTAGAAACCTTCATCAAGCTAAATTTGGTGGATTAATGTACACTTGATAACCTAAATCCAAACACTAGACATAAACAAGCGGCAATAAGGCGATCATCGACCAGTCCTCGTCAAGCAATTCCATGGCAAGTGAAGGGTCACGTGAGCAATCTCATTTGATAATGTAGTTGATCCGCGTTGCGTCATGGAATACCTGAATAATTCTCCCTTTCTTAGTCCTAATCGTCTCCTAACGAATACTTAGGGATGATGAGTTATCGTCATAAAATGCCTTAGGGGAGGATACTCGACAAAGTTTAATACGGGGAGTCTCCGCCCCGAGGTCCAACCTCCTATCCTTTTATATGCTATTTTTGACAGAAAAGGAATCCCTTTCGTATACCTTTCTATTGAAAAATAGTACCCCTTTCACATACCTAGAACTTTGCATCCCTTTTAATTGCTACAAATGCGCTAAATCCCAACACCAGAACGTTTTCTCGACTTTTTCACAGGTATATAATGCATCTGTAAGCCCTTTTGGGCCTTTTTACAGGCCGAAATGACATATTTCCCTACCCTTTTTGTATACTTCAACCAGTAAAATCACATCTTTTCATATACCTGAAGCCTGAAAAAGGTACCCCTTTTCGGGCGGAGCCTTCTTGTAAAGGGAGATCCTCTCGGGAATAAAAGCCGTCTGCCTACTTTGGAACTTCTAACCGTTTTGTCCACCTTTGGCTAAGAAAGGCGATGAGTACAAGCGCACTGTCTGCAACAGATTCTGTTCACTTAACTTACTAATTGATTTCCAGAAAGCAGGCGCCAGAATTTTTGCCTGTTTTAGAAATTAAAGTACCTGTCCGGAACTTAAAAGTGCGCGCGGTGATTTTTAACCAAACATTGTCGAGCTACTGATCGAGCGGGTTCTGTTGCAATATTTCATGATTATCGCTGAAGATCGACTACCTCCAAGAGATTGTTTTAATTTGGTAGATGACATATGGTTCGACGCTGTTGAAGATATGTATTAGTGGTGTTATGGCATTATTTACATAAGACAGTTTCGATTAAGGCGACAATCTAAACAGGTACTTCGCGCGCGGCAACTATGTACGCACCTATTCAGAGTCTGACTCACGAGAAAATGCAATGAAGGGATGAACTACTAGCTTTTGGCTTGTGAGCTCAATACCTTAGGGTGTCACTCAAAAGCAGAGTACAGAGTTTCCATGTTTATGGTAAACTAAACAAGCGCGTTAAGTTTCTCGTGCATCAATTCGAAGTTGCAGAGCTGAAGGCCCGTGTATATAGTTATAAATGACAAAGAAGCTCTGAGATTACACATCATGACTTTCAAATATTCAACCAACCACCGTTTTCTTGGAAATATCTGTTAGGAGCTCTTTAGCGCGCCTTAAATTTTGTGGCTGTTCGTTGGCGTCAGAGTTTCGGCATTTGTATGTTTTGTTCACCTAAGAATTTCGTAGCCTTTTTATTTGATTAGTGATTGTNAATGACAAAGAAGCTCTGAGATTACACATCATGACTTTCAAATATTCAACCAACCACCGTTTTCTTGGAAATATCTGTTAGGAGCTCTTTAGCGCGCCTTAAATTTTGTGGCTGTTCGTTGGCGTCAGAGTTTCGGCATTTGTATGTTTTGTTCACCTAAGAATTTCGTAGCCTTTTTATTTGATTAGTGATTGTTAAGCTTCAAAATTCTCATGGAAAAAAATTTTGCTGTTTATATTTGATCAAGGTTCCAGCCATCGTACTGTGACTGTTTGTCATCACTTTGCTAAAAAAAATTGTTAAATTTTTGAAACAATTTTTAAAATCACCTTTATCAGCTCCAGAAATTTTTACAGTACTTTAAAAAATTTGAAGTAGTTTCTCTCGGGGACGCCATCATCTACGCAAGGCTGCCAGAATTTGGATTAGGCTTTAGGCTTTAGGCTCACTAGAGGTGACGTACCTTTAATCCCTAATGAGATAAACATTTTTAATTTGTTTCTTTTTTCTTAATTTGTTTCTTTTTCTTTTTTCGGAACACAATACAAAAAAGTAGCAAACCAAATGACAATTCCATTTTGCTGTCCATTTCCTCAGTGCATCCAACTGCCATACCAGTTTAATAAGTTTGATTAAATTTAAATAAGTTATTTTCCTGTTGATGTGCTTGTATAACTATAAATACTTTACAGAATGATTCATTTTTGTTTCAGTCTGATTCAAAATTTAGCTGTGTTTTTCAATTCATTTTTGTCAAAATTTGACCGAAATGAGAGAAAAAAACGGAAAATTAAAACGAACGAAATAAAACATTCAAAATTGTTTGCGAACGTGAAGGGATGGAGAAATCGATAACTGGTGGTTGCCATTCTTCCCCTTCATTTTTCCTTCGTTTTGGTACATTTCCCAGTTTTTAAACACTTTTGTTTCCCTTGCAGTAAACAGCTTAATCTGCAGTAAATGCAACAGCAGCAAGTCATATGAAGAATGCGCCGCAAATGCAACAACGGTGGACTGCGCAATAGACGATGCGCGCTGTGTGCACTTCCACTATGAGGTGTCTCAAGAAAACTCCGGCCAAAAGACAACATGGTTTGGCCTAGGATGTGTGGCTAATGGAGAATGTTCAAGCAGCTTTTTTCCGCCTTGTAAGAGCCTTGCAGAAGGAGCGAGGGAAGAAGATAAGATGAAAATCACTTGTCACGTGTCATGCTGTGGAACTGATTTTTGCAACTCACAAGTTTCGTTTAACTTTTCAGTGCTGGTTTTGCTGATGTCTCTCTTTCTGCAATTATTTTTAAAATCGTTTAATCAATAAGTTTCCTCTAAACTTCCAATATAATGCTCTTTGTTGAATCAGTGTCCACCGGCCCTTTTCACATTTTAGGTCCTTAAAATTCTCTGGGACCTTTTTTTAATTTTATTATCGATATGTTAAAGTGTGATGTTCTCAAGCCGAGAATTCGGAATCTGGGAAATCTTTGCTTGTGGAATCCAGAATCTGAGAAATCTCTTCTTGTGAAATCCGGAGTCCAGGAAATTTTTGCTTTTGGAATCAATAATCCCGTGCTTTTGGATCCGTAATCCAGCTCCAGGCGTTCGGAATCCAGTTATATATCGTGGAATGCAAAATCCAAGACTACATGGGGCGAGAATATGCTTTCACG